CGGTATTTCAAACTCAGTTAGCAAAGGAATGTCGAGCTTCCCCTAATTGCTTAGCCAGCTATTCTCAGCCTATTTTTAAGAAAATTCTTTTCTGATTCATGAAAGACATCCACTATTCTTCCTATCTTCAAGTCGGCATCTCGTTTGGACGTAAGACATGCACAAAACCCTGGCTCTAGGGAAGCTTCTTGTAGAAATTATTTTGTAATCAAATTCTCTCCCAATTCCACAATGCCCAATACTACTTTTTATTCGCCGAATTACTAAGTACATGCCTAGGAAACATTAAACCACTGTAACTACGGCCTCGAATATGTGTCATGGTGGGGAAATGTTCACGCTTGCAGCCTATGCGTGCCCCAGAAACCCCATTTACAGTTAGTATAGTCCCAATCGTTGATACTACAAGTGTCGTCTAGTTTTAATTTCCGGCTTCGTTAATTGCGATCTAGATAATTATGTGCTCGAAAAAAAATATAATACCTGAGTTTACAACCGACCAATCCTACTAGCACACTTGGCCTTTCCAAACGCTGTTAATTTTATTCTATCCACATATAACTTAAGATACTTTAACCTGCGGAACCGTAGTAAGAGGCAAGCACATTAGAACGCTTCTCAGGGGTTTGATGTTAACAAGTCTCTCGTCTGCACTCACTATTAAAGAGCTCATCCAATAACCAACCACTCTCACTGACTGACGGAAAGCTCTAGACCTGCATCCACGAACGCCGATGTTGTTAGTAGCAAACTCCCAGTCCGAGACCTACCATTCGTCCTCCAAGTACTTCTGATCGTGCGGGAAATTGTCTGCTCTGAAATAATACCAGCAACAGTTGATACGAGAACTAGATGCTGAGCTACCAGTTTGGTTTTTCCAAAAATATCGGGAAGATTATGATAATCTGAATGTGCATCCCTGATCAGGAGAAGGCACTCCTGGGGATTGATTGTCGTCAACTTGAAGAAGTAGACGGCTTTTAATACCTCGGGGTGAGGCTGCTACCGAATGAGCGGAGTACAGAAGACATTAATTCCCGAAGCTATTCTGCTCACTGGGTTTTCTCAATCCCCCGAATGTGGCTATAGACCCGATGTGATATTTAAATTGCTAAGAGGTTTGCGTATTACGGGTATCCGTCCGGTCAGTCCTGAATCCTGAGCTTTGCG